TAGTATATTAACAAGCAGTAACAAGCTAGTATTTCTAAAGTGGCTAGTAAACATATCAAGTTTCTGGCTAATAGTTTAGTGTTTTCATAAAATCGGGCCTGAAACAATACATAGAGAATTTGGCTCCTTAAACTATTTTGAATTTATTATTTAGTTCTAGCTTGAACGTTGTGAATACAACATATCTCTTATCAGATAACAGCGTAACGCTTTTTTCGTGACAGTTTTTCGGTTATGTGCCAGAGCTAAGACAGAGCTAACCCCCAACGCCATCCTAATTATCCTAGTTATCCTAATTATACGGGTAGGCGTGCTCTACAAGGCTAAATCCGTGCTTTGGAACTCATAAGGCTAATGTCGCCATTTAGTTGTAACTTTTGACAACTCCTGTTCATATTATATCAAACACTAAAATAAATTAGAAAAAAAAAACAATTATAAATAAGTGTAGTTGCATTATAAATATATATACTGGCTGTATAACCGGTCCAGTTAACAATACTTGTAAAATACGTTGTATCTACTTACTTATAGAACACATAAATACGTATATCGTTTTGAAATGTTCATACTATTAGAAGTGTATTTAAATATGAATGAAAAACACATAAAATCAACACATTTTTTAATAGTTTTATATTATCTAAGATTATGTAAATCCCTTTCAAGTTACCATGACAAAAATATATTCAGGTTTTTCTCTTACCTTCTATTGACTCTTGTAATTAATACCGCATATAAATTAATGAGTGCTATTTTTTTTTCATTATATTGTAACATTACAATATTTTTGTTTCCAAATGTGTATTTAGGCACAAAAATATGCGGTCGCTAGTTCATTTTAATATCCAAAAAAATAAAAATTTAGGTCACGGCGTTGATGTAGTATATCGTCGCAATATCATCTTGATTCTTGAATAAACCATATTTTTTCCTAAGTAAACACATAAGTATGGCGTGTGCGAAGAGTCGCAAATCGAACCAACAAAAGTCATCCCGAGCACTACTAACAGCGTTAGTGTGCTTTTTAGGTTCATTGCGTTAAGTTTATCTAGCATAAAAAAGTAGGCGTTATTTTAAAATATTTTTCGTAAGACAATGTAACTATTTCACAATTGAATATAGAAAAGAAAGGATCAAACTATAATAATAATGAAATAGTTAAAATTTAGTCCAAAATCTATATTTATTTACAATAAGACCAAACAAATACACAGCAAATAGCGCAACACTCATGTTGGATTTCATCTTAGGTACCCAAAACAAAAAAAAAACTCATAATTTTTTATAACCTTGGTATACGATACAAAATGTTCAACAGTTGTTAGCGCTCTAAAAATTACCAAAAAAATGTTTAAAATTTGGATATTTTATAAGAAGTTAAGTAGGTATGGTAAAGTTTGAACGTTAAAATGTAAACGTTATCAAACTTTAATTATTTGTCGAGAAAAAAAAAATGTATAGATATGTTTCAGTTGTAATGGTTTTATTTTGGCAAAGAGGGAAAAATGTAAAGAAAAACATTGTCCTGCAACAGCGTTGTCTTACGAAGAAAATTTTCAAATATCGCTTTTTTTTTTTTATGCTAGATAAACTTAACGCAAAGAACCTAAAAAACACACTAACGTTGTTAATGGTGCTCGGGATGGCTTTTGTTGGTTAGATTTGCGACTCTTCGCACACGCCATACTTTTGTGTTTACTTAAGAGAAAATATGGTTTGTTCAAGAATCAAGATGATATTGCGACGACAGCAAACTTCTAGACCAATTGGACTCAATACTTCCCGCCACTTTGTTCGGTCGGTGTACATGCGGTACTTACAAGAATGTGACACGCCTAAGTTACATATGAAGTTATATGAAGGGTACAGCGAAAAATAAGCCTGCCTGCTTTGAACAAACAACGGCCATTTTGTTATTGTACATTTTATTTTGACACGATCTGATGTCAATTTTTAATATATTTAATATATTTTTATGTATATTTATTCCTATTGACATTTCTTTAAAAACGCGCTCATACTTTTTAGATTCCACCAACAGCATAATCCGCATAACATCGGTTTCAAATGAATATTTACCCCCTCTACTTTATTTTCATTATTTCTACTTAAACAATGATTAGTATTGAGGATATTTTATTAGTCGTTCAATTTTTTACCAGTCTATCACAACTTTTTTTAGTACGTTTTTTAATAATCAGCCTCTAATGTACTAAAGTACATTTTTGGCAAACTTGTTTTTGAAAATATATTTTATATTAGCACGATAATTACATTTAATAGTACCATGCGAATATAATTGTTGTATTTTTACAAATTTACTTTATAATATACATAGGTTTCTATTCGCATAGAGATCATAGCGATAACGTGACCTAAATTTTTATTTTTTCGGCTGTTAAAACGAACTAGCGACTCACATATTCGTGTGCCTAAGTACACATTTGGAAACACAAATATGTTTTCAACGAGCTTTTTTAATTTGTTGAAAAAACACATTTTTTTTAACGCTACAATATAATAAAAAAAAGTTGCACTCATTAATTTATATTCGGTATTAATCCAACAAAATCTAGGCACAGTGTATTTATTATTTTCTGGGTCCTATATTTCCCTGTCTGTAATTATGACTTGTGTTAAACAAAGGTCTAAATAGAAACATACTACAATTATAAAATTTCTACATTTTTCGTATTTTCTTGTTTGAACATCTGAATTGGACGGCATGGTTGTTTACCATATTGTTACAGATATTGTAGCAAATAATAATTTTGTATAAACGCCAAAAAAACAACACTTATAAAACATGTTTTCTTTGCCTACGTAAGGCTTACATTCCAGATAACACATTTTTACTCAAAATTAGTTTAAGAAAAACAACTTATTTTCGACAAAAAAAAAAACCGTAACCCAATGTCGTATGATAGCTGTACAAAAATCGTAGAAAAGACTTATGTGTAAGCAACAGATTTAACCATTGATTATAAATAGTATTTGCAATCAATATTTATAAAAAGTTAACTTGCAAACTCTTTTATGATAACTATCGAATAGGAACCCGAAAAAAGGCGATTAACGAATAATCAATTGTATAGATTCCTAATGTGTCATAAACTGATAATATTTTTATAAACAAAATTCAATTAACTGTAGGTAAAAATAAAATGTCTTATAAATTTAAAAAAAAAACATCTTTGGCAAAAATCTTTTGAAAATATATTTTATATTCGCATAATAATAATATATTTAACATTATCATGAGAATAAAAAGATGGTTTTTTTTTTTTTTTACAAATTTGGTAACGTATTCTACATTTTTGTCTATCACAGTATATTTTCCACAACGTGTTTTTGCCATAAACACAACTGTATACTTAAAACGTTTTCCTGCAAACAGTTGGCATAAACAGCAACGCTATGGCCTTTATTATAATGAACTTGCAACCACATAATTTCAGTTCGAATGATGAACCCAGGTGTTCAACTGTACATATTGCAAATAAGTACATGTTATCTTTTGCATAAAAATGCTATGCATGGCATTTTTATTACATATAATATGTAAACGGATGGGATTACATTCTGGGGAAGTTTTCCTCATTGTATATTCCTTATAGTATAATAAAAGTGTATATTTTTTTAAACTTAAATTAGACAATTTTTGAACACATTTTAATAGCGTCCCTGCGATATTTATCCACCGGGGATTGGCTAGTGAGAATCCCGTCTCCAAAATGACCCCCTCCCCGTTTGGGCGAGGGTGTGATTCCTAGGCATCCGATTTTTACCAAATTTTTTTTTACAAAAAAAAAGTATATGCTATGGTAGCATAAGCGTACTGACATAATGGAAAAAGTACTTGCTAAATTTAAGGCTAATGAATTTATTAACAGAGGAACTTCGAAATGTTGAAATTCAATACGGCGAACATAACTACTTGTTTTCCATAAAATAGCAGTACTATAAAAAATGTATTTGTAAAATATTTATCAAACGATACAAACAAAACGCATCGTTGGCTTTTGTAGAATAAAACAATGTCATCATTGTCAATGACGAATACGTTTTTTTGGGGATTTCAAATTTTAACAATAGTAATAGATTTGTTATCTATAGACTGAATGTATAATTTAAAATTATAACAAAAGTGATAATTTTTTTTTAAAAAATACTCTAGTGTATTTTAAAATGTTTTCAAGTACATTACATGTTTTATAAAATGTTGTGTACAAAATAATATTTCTGTACACATAGCTAAGTTTACAAATAATACCATGTACAATTTTACGAATCGTTGTTTATCAAAAACAAGTGTTTTTTTAGCCCATTTTGATATGTTGTTTGTGTGGGTATTTGAACTGTGTTTTATAACGACCATAAACACTGGTGTTCCAAAAAATAAAGCGAATAACTATATTGTATAATAAAATACAATATTATTTTTTTACATGCGTATGTAAAAATATAGGGCAAAGTCATTGTCCTACTTTGTTTTGTTTTTCCAAAAACATCAAAAATACATTATTTATTGTAAAACAAATAAATTAAAAAATTGTATTAAAAGTATTTTTCGAATACCTGTTGACTGTTGATTCATTCACGCATAGAAACTCAAAATTATAGACAACAGGCAAAATGTAATTATTCATTATTTTGTGTTTTCTCAACACCAAACATTTTGACTAAAGATTTTTGAGAAAACCGTATATTATGTTTTAACCTCACTTTAAATCTACCTTCGGCCTAATTATCAGATTGAAGAAATTATTTTTTCGCGATTTTGATACTATTCTCACCTCTACAGTAGAATTAAAATATTATATTTATTTATATAAGTGTTTTTTTTTACTATCAGAAGCAAATACGTTGCAGTTAAGGTTAATTTATACTCTTAATAAGCAGAAAACGAGTTATTTTACATTTTTATAAAGTTTTAATATTTTTAAAATGTATGATTTACAAATCAACCAAATATTACAATATTACAGTAACCCACACACACACCCTTTAGAATTGCTAGAGTTAATACATAAATTTAAAAATCTAAGCTAACAGTATTTAAAAAGCCATAAATGAAATACATTCAACAGTTACAATTTTTGACAATAGTATGTTGTATTCGTTTTTAGACCTGAAATATTCATATAAAAATAAATTTATAATGCTATAATATTACAATTAAAGTAAAATTATACATTTTATAGAAAATGTAATATCCTTCGGTTGGGTAAGTCAGCAGTTTTTAAGAATAGTCGGTATAGCTTAAAGTGATCTATAAAAAACTAAAAAAACAATAATGAGCATAAAATGTAATTTTTTGATTTCGATATGCTTAGGGTTGATCGCCGTTTTACAAAATGCCTTCCCATTGTGTCCAATATGTTAAAGCAATGTCACAGTTACCTGTTAACCGTTTAGTCTCTATTCTCAACAACCCAGAAATTTAACCACAATCAAAGGGTAAATTCCTCCGTTTCTTTTTTTTAATTTCAAAACCCTGCTCTAGATCCAACTTCAGTCAAATTTTCAGACCTTAGTCACAAATCTTAAAAAGTTTTTAAAAAAAATGTTATAACTCTTTATGGGCAAATTTATTCTTTGGTAATTGTTTGATTTGTCAATTAATATATATATCGACATAATAATATTACAGAGTTCAGCTAAAGAGATTAAAAAATATTGCGATTTCGAATGACTTTTGTAAAATCACTTCCAAATGTGTACCTATGTTCTATAATCTGAATGTAATGACTAATGTCTCCTTCCCCCCCCCCTTCCCTTCAATGTGATCCGTCTCCATCATGCCCGATCCTACTGTATTGACCTTTTAATTTTTTTATTTACCATTTGGAAAACTTATAATTTACTTAGACAAGCTAAAATGTGTCACGATTTTAATTTTTCACATTAAAAAAAAAAGCTAACAACCAATACTAGTACTATTGTAATAACTGGTATTAGAAAAATGTACTGGTAAAAGGGTGAACAAATTACTTGCCTAGCATCTGCAATGGTCCATCAGCGTCTCATTTGGGTATTGTAGAAAATGATTTCCAAAAATCATATGTTTTATAAATGTCTCTTTCGTCATGTTACCAACTAGGAATCATTATAAAAGTATTCACATTAAAACGTATCAAACTATAATATTATGCCGTTATAAAATGACTGGTCGCAATAATTATTATTGCCTTTTTGTGTAAAATATTGGGGCATAACGAGTTTTTTTCAAAAGCCACCTAAAAACAATATTTATGTTTTTCCGCTTATTTAGTTTTAAGTAATCTAGAATCGTGTCTAAAAAATGTTTCAACTTATGCCGGTTATAATTTCTAGAAGAAGGGTAGTATCGAGTTAAAATGTATGGGAAATATTTAATTATTCCCATTTCCCATCCTTCCACGGGAGGTGCAATGTTCTACGATTGTGACTATTTTATAAATTAGGTATATGTAGCTAATATTATGCTTGTCAAAAAGTCTTAACTGATAAACGTGTAATCCAAATTAGCACCAATACGTTTATTGAAAAGTGATTTTATCCGAGTAAGCCTGTACAATGGGGTCAAGACTACATATTGGATCCAAACATAGTGTGGACGGAGAGGTCACAGATCTACAGGTTAGGTTTTCATGTATCATATTATATGTCACAATATCTATTACAGAATTATTGTTATTCAACGTACGAGGCAAATGTTCAGTTAGCTTTTCGATTTCCTTTTGAGTTAGTCCATGCGAGTGATCAAATAAGTATTCTTTAATTGCTTGCTTGTCAATCTTGCGTTTTGTATACACGTAAAAACCAAAGAATTTCATTATTTCTTCACAATGAAGAATGGCCTCATCATAAATGTAGTTGAGTTGCTAAAATCATTAAATTTGTATTTTTAATACACAATGTGAATACTATTATTGTAGAAATAATGTATCTCGATTTATTTCTGTTACATTATTCACTAGTTTTATAAAGTATTTAATTATAATAATTTTTTTTTTAACCTATTATATTTTTGGATAAAAAAATTCATAATTACTTCAGCAGTAAATACTGATTTTACTAATGCTGTAAATTCAAATTCGTTCATATGTATACCTAGAAATCATTATAAATGCATCCATGTTAAAATTGACCAAACTCTATTATTGTGTGACAAATTGAGTTGTAATCATAATTATTGCGTTTTATGAATAATAGTTGGCCATTTAAGTATTACACTCTAACTAATAACTATCAATAATTATTTATGTACAACAACTATGTAGTTTTTAGTTTTCCAATTCACATGTAAAATATCTTACAATATCTATTACTGAATTATAATTATTCAACTTACTCCATACGGAATCAATTATCTTTTCGGCTTCCCAATCCCTAATTTTCCAAATGTTGCGTATTTTTTGGTCACTAAAGTATTTTTCTATTGTAGACCTGGTAACTTCATGATAATCAAAATTTATCTGCTGATAAAGTCGACCAAGAAGCTAAAATCATTATATTATAGTATAGCATATTATTCAATAGATTTAAAGATAATTTAAATTTTTTTAATGAATCATATAATTAGATAAGAAAATTAAAAATTACACCATTGTTTTCAATAATTGATTTTTCCATTTCTGTACTTATATGATCAAACGTATATAAAAATATAATTAAATATTTAAAATTCATTGTTGTATTTTTTCAACGCACAAGTTACCCGAATAATGTTTTACAATTGTTTAAAACGCAAATGATTTTTATTCTTTTTAATGGCTGTTGTTAGAGTGATTTCAGTATAAAACAAAATAAATGCATATGTATTTTGTTTGTTTAATATAGGTTGAAAATTCCCATTTAAACATAAAATAAATAATCGACGCTGTAGCATATGAGTCATAAAAAAGAAGTAGCTAATACCTGTTTACCGCCTTATAATAAAGTGTTATTTTTTTGGCTATTTGTAAGCCCAACGTTTTTTATAGTTACGGTGCAGTGCGATGAGTGGATCACACCCACGACTTTCCGCCTTCTAGGGCTAAATTAAGGGACCCTAGCCGGGATAGCAAGCTACCCTCTATCTACTCTAAAATATCCCTAGATACTATTTGTAAATTTATACAACCGCCCAAAAGAACAAAACGGCCGGTCGTACCTTTAAGTGAAATAACTAAACTCTCAAATTGCAACGTACAATATTATTTATTAAAAAAAAGTCCTAACGCTGATTAAGAATTAAGTTATTGATTAAAATATTAAAATGGCTAAAAACAATGTGTATAAATACATGTATAAAGGTTTTACATTTGTTACCTGGTCAGAAAAACTTAAAAGCCAGTACGGTGGAGTCAGGGCTTAGTGGATACGGAGCATGGTGGGGCCATAGTGGGGCATAGTGGTGACGGGGAGGTCACAGGTTTACATGTTTTTAAATCTGAAAGTGATAAAATCACTTTCGAATAAACGCTTTGATGCGAATCAGTAGTTAATATTTTTAAGCCAGTACAGTTCAAACCAAGCACAGTGTAGAGTGTAAAGCAACAAACTTAGAAAGTATTAAATTGAGGTGCTGTATTTACAAATAAGCATCAAAGTTTTCATTTAAAAGTGATTTTATCCGAGAGGACTAGTACAGTAGAGTATAGGAATAATGGAGTTAACACATAGAGGGGGCAGGAATTATTATTAATAAAAGTGATAAAAGTGATTAAAATCACTATCAATTTAACTTCATTAAATGTAACTTTAAAAGTGAATTTTACTTTATATTCTATTGAAAAAATACTCTACAAATCATAAAATAAAGCCTTTAATTTCCATCCTAAGTAATTTATTCGATTAATAAATTCAACTGTCCAATTTTAGTTAAATACATTTTTTGTATCCTCCTGACGCATAAGCAAGTTTTGAGTTTTGTCATATGTATAACTATGAACCATTTTATTTAACCCTATTAACGCCTAGTCTATATTTTATTTATATACAATTATATTATTGTATGGTAAAAAATGTTTAAAATTTCAGTCATGACCATAAAATAAAATATATTAAACTAAAAAAAAAAAAAAAAAATAAGTAAATCAAAATCTAACGAATCTAAATAAAGTTTAGATTAGGGGGTTCTTGAACAATGTTCATTCCCTCACATGTAAAACATAGAAATTAACTACAGCTTTCGAATTGCAATTTCTTCTTTTTTTGACGGAGATTTTCATTAAAAAACAATAAAAAAAAAGTTAACACCAGATAATAGTGCCTCTAGATTTACTTTCGGTCTAATTACTAACACCTAATCCTTGAAGCTTCAGCTATAAAAGAGAGTTAAAGAAACAGATTCCTTCTTATCTAGAGGAAGGGGTTTTTGGTATTTTTTTTGGCAAAAAAAAAAACAAATTATAAAATAACAATACCCAATCAGCTCTGCGCCTTCTACCGTAATCGTATCTACCGCTATTCTTAAAAAATATACTTAAAAGCGACTCAAGCTCATTGCAATGCTTTTATAAATATTTGTAACCGTACACAGGTTAGCATTGAAATGTTGATTTTAAAGTGTTTTTTGTCACTTCTGTGGACACCGGACCTCACTTGATGCGTTACTTTTGTGCTGGTTTATTCTGTGCTTGGTTTGGCAACTGTACTAGTTTAAACTTAGTATCCACTGATTTGCGTCGAAGTGATTACTTAAAAAAACATTCTATTAAGAAGGTGCCTCTAGTGATCAACACTTAACGGGTATAACTTTTGGTCAATTTTTTACCGCCAAGAGATGTCAATCTAACATGCAATAATATTTAAAAAAATACAAGGTAATCCATTTAACATTTGTATCTCTTACATATGTATGTCTAAAAAAAAATTATGATTTTGCAGTTTTCCTTTTGTTTTATTTCTTTTTTTACAAGTTACATATATATAATAGACCTATATTCAGTCTAATTTTCAGCTCTTAAGTCTAAAATCAATAAAATTTCAATCATTGGGAGAGAGGGGTTGGAGTGCGGGGTTTTTTGAAATTTGATTTGTGGCTATTTGGGGATAGACGCATGCCTAATAAAAGTTTTATAAAAATTGCGCTTCGATCAGACCGTTATTCGCTAAGTTCTAGTGAGTTAAAGTTGAAAGTTTAAAAAACGGGTTTTTGGGGGTGAAAAAGTTGATTTTTCTATGATCGATCCACTAAAGTACCAATCACAAACCATTTCGAATACATAGAGATGATACTCAAGTCAATCGGTCCAAAGGAAAACAATTATTATTATTAAGTATATTTTTCAGTTTTTCTTAAAAAAAGGTTAACATAACAGGTTTTTAAGAAAACCATTTGTTTGCGTTATTGTCCCATTCTAGATCACTCTTAACTGTTCTTTTGATGGGACACTATCGATAAACGTTGACAATATATGCGTATATTTTGCACATGATTAAACAGTTTTAAAATGTGGTAAGTACGTAAACAAATAACAGTAAAGGAGTGCGTGTATCAAGAATGCCATACAACGCAAATAAAAACGTTCTCAAGTATGTGTTGCTTAAATAAATTTGCAAGAATCAACAGTTACAAAGTTGGTACTGTTTTTATTTCTCAAGTATATTCCTTTGTGAGTAGTGCGGCGATAATTCGGCAAAACACTATTTCGATTACAGTCATCAAGCAATAATACAATGTTCCCATAACATTATAAAATCGTCATAGGAACTATTATCGAATATTTAAAAAACAGTTTTTACTTTAAAAAAAATTTATCAAAATATGAGGTGCATGATGAGATTTTAAAAAAAGCCAATACAGGGGGGGGGCATAGTGTAGATGGAGAAGACACAGGTCTACAGGAATTATTACAGCTGAACGTGATAAAATCACTTTAGAATAAACGCTTTGATGCTAATTTGTAAGCACTGCACCTCACTAAGTGTTTGGTTTAGACTTTACTGGTATGAAAAAATTAACTACCGATTCGCGTCGAATCGTTTATTCGAAAGTGATTTTATCGCTTTCAGTTGTAATAATTCCTGTGAACCTGTGACCTCCACGTCCCCACTATGTCCCGACACCACTATGCCTCGACCCCACTGTACTCGCTTCTTTTTTTACAAAAACATAGTAGCCCAAATAACACATAATCAAACTCTTGTTAAATTTAGTTGGAATGGTCGATGATTCATGAGGATGTGAAAAAAAGATGGAAAGTGTACTTTGATAGGCTATTGAATGAGGAATTCCCAAGGAGTGAGGAAAGAGAACGGGTAGCGTGGAGTTTAGGTTTTCTTAATAAGGTGTTAGTAGATGGGAAAATGTCGGAATTGTGGAGGAAAAGTATCCTGGTACCAATATTTAAGGGCAAGGGAGATGTGCAAGAGTGTGACTTTGATAAAAATGTATTAAATCGGTAAACAAAAACATTAAAATCTTTTAATATTTGTTTTAATCTTTTATTAGTTAATTATTGACACAGTGTATTTATCGATTGACGCGTTAAAATTTTTGTTATGACAGTAATGTTTTTATCAAACAATTGTGTCATTCATTGTAAAGGTGAACTATTTCTGTGTAATAATTGAATATTTAAATAACGAGCTTGTTGTGAATTATCGTGTAGGAAAACAAATACAAGTAATCATTCAGTGTTTCATTTATGTTTGCTTGTATTGGAGTAGCTTCTGTTTTGTAATGAAAGACATGACTAAACGTGACACGATTAAGCAAAGTATATTTTTGTTTTAAACATTCAGGGTTACACCACTTTTACAATTAACGAACCAATTGTTGATTCTCACAAATGTTTCGTTGTTGTGCTGATAAAACATTTTTGGGGTCAGTAGCATTAATGAATTTATAATATGAATTTACATGTTTTAATTATTTGTGTATTAATATTTAACGTTTCAGATTTTATAAAATGTTTATACTGTTTGCATTCATTATGAATTTTCTTGGTTAAATCAATATGTTTCAATATTGCTTGGTTATGTTAGGTTATAACATATAGCTTTTATGGTTTATTTGTATTGGCTAAAAATAATTATCATGTACAGTAATAACAATACATTTTGATTGCCATACACCAGTAATAAGTTGCTACGGAAAATTCATAATCGTCTAGACGATAAATAAACAATAGTCATTACTTTTGTTTCAAATAATCTCGAATCAAATTTTTTGTCTAATAAAGTTCAGTGATATCCTCAGAAATGTATTTATAATTTTCGATTACTGTGACTTTTCAAATGGATAACAGTGTTCGGAATGATTATGTTTGCTAAGACGACAGAATTTTCGCATTTAAAGTTTGATCTGTGTTATTTGGAAAATAACAGACCATATTATGTTTCTAAAAAAACGTGTAAGGCTGATAAAACATAAAGGTAAAAAATTATGGTTAATATAAGGGCACAATACATTTCTAGTTGGTGTGCAATATTAAAAAGTTAGCAAAACTAAAAGTATGGTTATAATAGGAGCACAATACATTTATAATTGAAATCTCCTTTATAATTGATCTCCTAATCTGTTCAGAAATAACCGTCTATGTCAGTAACCGATAATGACGTACTGTACATTTAGAATTTAATCATTAGAGTGTTTAAGAACAGAAGAGTAAAAACATGAATGAAATATCTAGAGGTCAATCTGTATATATTAAATCATAAAAGAGAAAGAAGTGACGAGTGATAAGAACATTCTTTTGATTTTTGATTATTTGGCAGTGCTTATAA